TATATATATAAAAGATTGTGGGAGGCATGGTGATGTCCTAAGCATTACATTTGTTAGGTTAGATGAATAGCACAGTAAAGATATTTCGAGTGCTCATCCCTGTGTCTCTAATCGAGCTGCTGTGAGGCTGCCCGGAGCTGCAATCACAGACGTGCTTGTTAAATATAGAGCAAAATATTGGAATGGCCTTGCAGGTATTCAGGCCTTTTTACGTATAGAGTGTTTTTGGCAATATTGCAAGTTCACTAAAAGCTGGGTGAAAATTTTAATGAGGAAAAAAAAACTTTGAAATATCTTTTAAAACTTGAATTTTTAATAATGTACCTTTTTTGTAATATACTTATTGCAATAAACAAATATGTAATTATAGGTGTGCATATGAACTTCTTACGAATCAAATATGCGCTCCAAACTTTTTCTTCATTGAGACATGTTGAGTTCTTCTTCCATCATTTGCAGTGTTTAAATTAGGGGTGTCCAAACTACGGATAAGTTTTGTGGCGGCCCGCGAGGCTTTTTATGAATACTAATAGAATCTGGCCCGCTATACAAAAATGAACGTAATTCAATAAATAACCACCGGATGTCGCTATTACATGCCTTCAATTAGACAGCAGTTCCTGTTATGAAGTAAAACGAACCGAACAAACTGAAAGTAACATAATTCATAATCACGTTTTGGCGAGCCATGGCACAAGCAAGAAAAAGGAAAATCAACAGTGAGTGCAGGAAATTTCAGTCAGGATGGGGCAAAGAATATTTCTTCACAGAGGTCAGTGGAATATGTGTCTGTTTAATTTGCCAGGAATTAGTTGCAGTAATGAAGGAATATAATATTAAAAGACATCATAAAATAAAACATCAGGCCTTCAGCTCTTACACTGGTGCCGAACGAGATCAAAAAGTAAAACAAATAGCAGCTGGCTTATCAGCTCAACAACAGCAGTTTTTTTAGTGCTAATAAAGTGCAAGAAAATTCTATGCTGGCTAGTTATGATGTAGCCCAGCTAATCGCACAGCACAGGAAACCTTTCACTGAAGGAGAATTTCTAAAGGTAGAGTGTTGCAAGTGTAATTTGCCCAGAGAAGATTCAAGATTTTAAAAACGAAAGTCTTTCTAGAAACACAGTTGGATGATGAATTAAAATAACAAATTAAAATAATACCATAACACACACACACACACACACACACACACACACACACACACACACACACACACACATATATATATATATATATATAAATAAATATATACCTTTAGTGTGTATACCTTTATTATATAAATATAATAACCTTTTAGTGTGCACATGTCATGGTCAGAAGCAGCTTATAGAAAATATTAGATAAAAAAAAAATTTAAACCAGGGGTGTCCAAACTTTTTGGGCCGAGGGCCAGATGCAAAAAA